TTTGAGCCGGCTGCGGGGCAGGGGCAGGGAGGAGACATAAGATCCCGAGCCGTTAGTGGGTGGCCGTGGACTTACAAGCTCCAGGCTTGCATTTGACCTCAGCCCTTCGAGGTGCTAGCGATGCGCTCGAGAGTAGCAGGGCTGCAGGCAGGAATTTTTTTTCAGACCTCTGGCCCGGGACCCAAATTTTGCATCACAGGCAGAGGGCTGTGGCCCAGCCCGGCTCTGGAGCGGTGCATTTGAGAGCTGCCCCTCCTGTGCCAAGGGGAACAGTAGCTGAGTCTGTCGTCTCAGCTCCCTGGCTGTTCTGCGGGCCCCAGACTAAGGCTCCTTTCATGCCTTGGCGTGCCACCTGCTTGCCCTATGTGGCCCCCCCCCTTTCTACCTGTAACACTGGCATCCCTGTTCCTTCCAAGCCTCAGCGGGAAGGGCAGGGCCTGCTGCACTGAGTCAGCTCTCGGGGCCTGGGAATTGCTAGCGCAGGCATAGAGAGCGCCATTGTCCCTCCATAGCCTCCTCTTCATGGTCGCGGTGGGAGAGCAGAGCTGGTTCTCCTCCTGTGGCGGCGCTGAGGGGGCCAGCGGGGGTAACAGCAGGCGCAGTCGCACTAAACAGAGCCAGCTGGCTTTCGGTCTCTTGTCAAGTTGAAGGTAGACGTGGCCCATGAGTGTAGCAACCGACCCTGCTGTTTATATCCCACTTCTGCAAAAGCGAATGGCATTTCTGCACCCTATCCCCGGCAAGAGGGCTGCTGCGATCAACCAGGGTTACTTAATACGGGCTGCGTGTGGGCAGCTTCAGCCCCAGGTGCCTGCACTGGGCCCTGTTCTTGCATCCTGCAGCACTCCTACAGCCTGCAATGAGGCCCCTGCAGCAGGAGAGAGGACAGGGGTGGAGGTGTCAAACTGCCTTTTATACAGGGGAGAGTCAGGGGGGGAATAGGAAGCATGCACAGAAACCCACCCCCAGCTGTTTGCACTTCTCCCTGGGCTGGGAATTTCTGGGTCCTTTAAGTCACAGAAGGGAGATTTCAGGGTGAAACACAGCCTTGGCTTAGGTCAGGTTGTTGGACTCCAGGGTCCTGGCCACAGCAACTGAGGATAAGAAAAGCCCCCGAGGCCTTTCCCAAGGGGACAAGAGGCTGGTGGGGAGGGCTTGTTGTTCATGAAATGGCAGGGGACTTTCTTGCCTTTAAAGCTCTAAGTTTGTAAGTCTCCGAGTTTCATTGTGAGGGCTACTAGAGGTCACAGCTATATTATGTTGGGGCCAGGTACACCTCGGAGGGCCTAAATTCCTATGACTCAGTTGGTTTTGGGGGTGGGGGGATTGACATCTCTGGCCCTTTCCATCACAGGAGCCCAGAGCTGCTTCTGGTGCATGTTTATGTAGCCAGCCCCGCAGCACCCTCACCTGGCCCCCAAGGCCGTCAGGAGGCTTTTTCTACTGGAGAGACTGAGGCAGGGATGGAGCGTGGACCAAGGAAACCTCCTACCCCGATGCAGGCATCCACAGCTTGCTGTGCGAGGGGAGGATGCAGGTGGCCTTGGGTGTAGGAAGTCCTTACCAGCTTGCTCATTCTGTTGCGTACCTGGTGCTCTTGTTCTTTGCATGGCCCCTGAATATCAGAGGTTTGCCTCTGTGAGGGCGGGGACAGTGGAGGGAAGAACTCCTTCAGGGAGTATTAAAGCTGTTTTAAAGCTGGCTAGGTCACCATCTTAGGGCTATAGCTGAAGAGTATCAGCTATACCTTATCGGATAGTCCTGGTAAAATCCCAACCAGCCAGCTGCTAGGAGAGTTCCTTCCCAGCCTTGCTCTCTGGCTGTGTCTTGTCAAGCGGGTGAGCCCTGGTAATTTCCTCTGAGCTGTGGGGAATGCCTTGGCATGCTCCCTTCCAGGGCTGCGTGGGGAGGTGGGGGAGGCTGGCAGCCTGAGCCTTCCCCAGCTCTCCTCCACTCAGGTGGTGCTGCCAGAGGAGGAAGCTCTGAGCCGTTTGCTCTCAGAGGAAGGCTGCTCTGGCCGCAGGCTTGAAACATGAGCTGCTAGGTAGCAGTCGCTTTTTCCATTCAATGACCTGTTTTTTTTTTCCACCCAGGAGCTGCGCTGAAGTTTAACTAAAAAGGGGAGGTGCGAGGTACTCCTTGCATTTGGAGTAAGGGCGTTGTGAAAACCAGATGATTACAACAGTGTTCAAACATTCTCTCTGACCCTGGAAATCCAAGTTTCTAAGTCCACGTGTTCCTAAGCTAGAGCAAACACCCTTAACAGAAGCAAACATAAATGTCTGGCATGTGCCAGAGGGCTTTTCCTACTCCACATGCTGCCATCATCGCTGTCGTGGGATCTGGGTGCTGCCTGCCAGTGGGGAGCAGGCTGGGTGGCGCAGGCATGCGGAGCAGAGCTGGCCGTGTGCTGGCTGCCCACTGCCTGCCTTTGTCTCTCCACAGATTTTGCCTTTCCCTTGTGCTGGCTTCCTTCCCTACCATGGCTACTGGTGAAGAGATCCCCCCTGTCCTGCAGGACTCGTGGGGGGACTTCTGGCTCTTCCGTTTCTTTGTTAATGCTGCTGGCTACGCGAGTATTGTGGTGCCGGGATTTCTTCTCATCCAGTACTTCAAGAGAAGGAATTACCTGGAGACAGGTAAGGGCAGGAGCTTCCCTTCCACATCCTGCCTCCCTGTGAGCTCTCTGCACCCCATTCAGCGCTGACAGGTCATTTCCCTGACCTGCTTTGTCAGACCAGGAGCGAGCTGCTTGCAGAGCTGCATCCCAGAGCTGTCTAGGTGCTACCCTGAAACAAATTTCTCTGAGGCCCCTGCGCCTCAGATGCAGATGCAGAGGCTAATAAGGAGGGAGGCCTCACCTCAAGCTGGTGCGGCTTGTGGTGTCCAGGCTGCAGTTAATTCTGTCTCTATGTTCTCTTACTCCCTTCAGGCCGAGGCATTTGCTTCCCTGTCATCAAATCATGCGTGTTCGGCTCTGAGGTGAAGTCTGTACACCAGGAGGATGGCTCCCTGCCACCCCGAGTGGAGCCCACAGAGTCCTCTACAGCCCGACAGGTCTTCAAGCTGCTCTTCTGCGCTGCTGGTCTACAGGTAGGGGCCCTGTGCATGTGTGTGTGGCCATCCCACTCCGGGAGCAGGAGGTGGGCAGTGGGTTTGTGGCCGTCAGTTCCTTGAAGACCAAGGATGCAGTGCTGTCCTTGATCGGGGCAGGGTTGGAGGCTGGGACACAGCCTCTCAACCAGGATAGTCCCCCAGGGCTGCTGTGTCACTTCTAAGGGCTGCGGAGGTCCATTTAGCTGGTGTCATCTGGGTTGGGACCTCTTGTCTGTCCAATCTCAGTCCTCTGCAGCCATGCTGTGATTCAGCAGATTGTTAGGGCTGCTCTTGTTCTGGCCCTCATGTCAGAGCAGCAGATAGTTTTGCGGCTTCTTATCTCCCAGGCTCTCCTCTGGGTCACCTTCTGGGGCTGATGCGTCCTGCCTTGATGGATTGGATTTGAATACTGGAGAGAAATACTGAATTCAGCTACAGATAAAGAGGATTTTTTAATCTTAGTTTCCCTAAGTCTGAGCTACAGCCTGAGCGTCATTAGGAAGGGCAGCTTTTTGGGTCTATGAGGATTAAAAGTAGAAATGTGGGCATTGTGACAGAAAACCCCACGCATCCCACAGCCAGCAGAAGACACCCACTCTCTGGCCTGTTATCCCAGCCCATTCAGACTTGCTGCGGGTCACCACCAAGTCCTTCTATCTCTCTGTGCCTCAGTTTCTCGGGAGGGGATGTGTGGTGAGAGGAAGTCTGTGTTACTTCTGTGAGGGGCTTGGTACTGTGGCACCGGGACTGCAGAAGTAGTGGAGGTGACAGCCAGAATAGTCATCATCCCTGGAGGACGATTTCTTCTGCTGGGTTTGAAACTAGAATTGATTTGGCTAGAAGAACTGGGCCTAGGGAGTTGGAAGTGAAAACCAATGCAGAGGCCACTGGGAGAACTGCCAGGACCTGCCGCAGGGAGCTGGCACCAAAACCGCAGCTGTGCATCGGTAACGTTCCCTGATCCTGTCCATCTGGTTCAACAGGCAGCTTAAAACAGAACCGCTTGCTGTACGCCAGGGTGTTTGCTTTGCGGGCTTCTCTCCCCTTGAAGAGGCTGTAAATTGAGCAGGTTTTGTTGGGGACAGGATGTTCCTGGTTGTAACCACAGGGGACAGTGGGTTCCCTCAGACGGGTGGAGTCGGGGGTGGCCCCATCTCCCAGTGCCTCAGGGAAGCACTGCCATGCAGAGGATGAGGCAACGCTGGGGCAAGCAAGGATCTCCTGGGGTCTGTTCTTCCCGTGGCTGCTTGCAGCTGCCGTTGCGGGTCCTGACTCTCCCTGTGCTCCTCCTGCTTCGCAGATCTCCTACCTCACGTGGGGCGTCCTCCAGGAGCGTGTGATGACGAGAACGTACGGTGCCACCGAAACGGACCCTGGTGAGAAGTTCAAGGACTCTCAGTTCCTAGTGTTCATGAACCGCATCCTGGCCTTCACAGTGGCTGGTCTGTACTGCGCCCTGACCAAGCAGCCACGCCATGGGGCTCCTATGTACAAATACTCCTTTGCCTCCCTCTCCAACATCCTCAGCAGCTGGTGCCAGTATGAGGCACTCAAATACATCAGCTTCCCCACCCAAGTGCTGGCCAAGGCCTCCAAAGTGATCCCAGTGATGATGATGGGCAAACTGGTGTCACGCAAGAGTTATGAGTACTGGGAGTACCTGACTGCTGCCCTCATCTCCGTGGGGGTCAGCATGTTCCTGCTCTCCAGTGCTCCCAACAGGCACGTGTCCACTGTCACCACTTTCTCAGGCATAGTCCTCCTGGCCGGCTACATAATCTTCGACAGCTTCACCTCCAACTGGCAGGACGCCCTCTTCACCTACAAGATGTCTCCTGTGCAGATGATGTTTGGTGTCAATGTCTTCTCCTGCCTTTTCACGGTAGGCTCGCTCTTGGAGCAGGGTGCCTTGCTGGAGTCATTACGCTTCATGGCCCGCCACTCGGAGTTCACGGCCCACGCCGTGCTGCTCTCGGTGTGCTCCGCCTGCGGCCAGCTCTTCATCTTCTACACCATCAACCAGTTCGGGGCAGCTGTCTTCACCATCATCATGACACTCCGCCAGGCCTTTGCCATCCTCCTCTCCTGCCTCATCTATGGGCACACTGTCACTGTTGTGGGCGGGCTGGGCGTAGCCGTTGTCTTCATGGCCCTCTTCCTCCGTGTCTACGCCCGCAGCCGCATGAAGAAGCGCAGCAAGAAGCTCCCGCCAGGCGAGACCCCTGTACAAAAGGTCTAAGGAGGTGGGGCCATGGCATTTAAGCCATGCCTGCTGTCCTGTCTCCGCTCGGGGGCACTTGCTTGATTTCTCAGAACCCGCTGAGGAGCAGGGTGGGGTACGGATAGGCTGGACAGTGACTCGCTTCTCCACCTGCTTTTCCTGGGGAAGGGGCTGGAACAAGCCCAGGGAATGCTCTGGGCTGCCACAGCTCTAGGGAATGCTCTGGGCTGCCACAGCTCCAAACTTTTCCGTTTGCCTTAATAGGTCAAAGACTTCTAGCCAAGGCACAGGCCTGGGGGCTTACATCCTGGGGGAAAACCAGCGTGGGGCTGCTGGTGCTCCTGCGCCACCTCTGTCTTGTGGCTTCTCTCCAAAGTCACTGATGAGCAAGGGAGCTCTTCCCTGGCACCTTCTTGCCTCTGGCTAATGCTCCTCCATGTCTGTCGCTACTACAGAGGTCAGCAGGAGGAAAGGGCAAGCAAAACACTAGCTCTTTTTGAAACACCTCCATGTGAGGCACGTCCCAGGCTGAGCCTGTCGTAAGGCGGGGGAGCTCTCAGCCCCCCTCCCAGGAGGTGCTCCAGGTAGGACAGGCACAGCTAAAGGAAGGACTCCCAGCCTGTCCTACCCCAGGCCTGGAATCTGCTCTGGGAGGGTGCTCTGCAGTGAAAGCCAGTACCTCCCAGTTTGGTTTTATCAGTTCCTTGCCCCTGCTTCAAGACACACTTCTTCACTCCCTTCAGCCCAGGCTGATTTTTATGCAGAGACTGAGGCTGGCCGGTACGGTTCCCAAGGCTCGCTGCGTTGTTCTAGGTTGCTTTTTGGTTACATCCGCTGCTGTCACAGGTCAAAGGCTGCACTGCCCAGAAGCCCCAGCGTCGCCTCGGGGTGTCTCAGTGCCACGGTTTCTGGGCTTTGAGGTTGCCATTCAGAGAAGCACAAATAGCCCCTCTTCTTCCTGCCAACTGGAGGCATTGGCCCTGGCTTTCCTCGGGCCTGGCCAGAGCCCCACTGCGCCTGGAGGGCTGAGAGATGGGGCAGAGCCCGCTTGCGGTGCCTTGTTCCTGCTCCCCAGGCAGCAGGGGATGGAGCAAGTGGGCACCTGCTCCCCAGGCAGCAGGGGATGGAGCAGTGGAAGCTGCTCTTCCCCAGGAGCCTGGGTTTTACTGGTTAACCCTCTTCTCCTCAATACAACCTGACTGTCAAGCCAGCAGGTTTTGGTACTTTTGAAAGGCAATTTTTTTTTCTTTTTATTTTATTAAATTAAAATATGCTGCATATAGTGCCCTGGGGGTAAATGTTCATTTTTATTGGGTTTTTTTTCCCATGTACCTGAAAGGAGGGGAGAGAGTTCCCAACCCTTCCTGTGTCCCTAGTCTCTGTGGGACAGCAAAGCTGTCTGTCTTTCCTTTCCAAACACAGATGCCTCTGCCTTCACCCAGGCAGGTATCAGCCAGGGTTGGACCCTGACAGCAGCTGAGAACAAGATCCTTACACATATGACTGGGGAGCATAGCCAGGTTTGGACCTCTGCTTATGCTGGTGGGCAAGTGGAGGAGCTGTTGGCCTGATTCTGGTTTGGCTCCTGGGTTCCCTGCATGGTGCAGCTTGGGCAGCCCCAGCGGGTGCAGCTGCAGCCTGCATAGCTAGATGGAGATGGTGCAGAGACCTGCTAAGCACCTGCCAGACAGGGCCACCAGTGCTATAGCAAGGCCCTGGAGGAGCCCATCCTTTATGGGGTGAGTCTGCACCAACACCAGCTCCATGGACCCCACACCAGAGCCAGGGGAGGCTTGGGGTGTGGGTGGTACATCCCACTAGCACATATGGGAGGCCTGGTGAAAAACCTTGTCTGTAGGCCTAGGCGATCTGGTCATGGCAAGGTCTGGGGTCAGGAGCAGGACCTTGGACTAACAGAGCTAGAGAAAGGGGAGACTCAAGAAAGGCTACAGGAGAGACAAAGGAGGGGACGAGGGACAGAAGCTGCTTTTCACAGTGCCGAACACAGCCCAGGCTTCGGAGCACTTGGCTCTCCAGCAGAGTTTTAACTGTGCTGCTTTCCTAGCTCTGAGCTCGTGAAAGTGCCTGTGCAGCCTCACAGCCCTTCATCTTTCCCCTACAAATTCCCCCAAGTGTCTGCCCCCACCATCTGCTGACAGACTGAAAATGGATTTTTTTTTCTTTGGTCAAAAAAAAAATAGGTGGTCTGCCAGGTTGGGAATGGGATCCCTTTTCTAATTAAATCTACATTTAAAAGAAAAAATTAGTGAAAAAAAAACCCCAAAACATTCTAAGTTAAAAATAAGAATTGACTTTACTGATTTGTTCTTTGGCAAAACCTTCCTATCCAGAGAGAAATCTTACTTTTAAACTTTTTTTTTCCTCTCGTCTTGGGGAAAGAAAACCACCCTGAAGGCATTTGCTAGCTCAGCTCCAGCACTGCCCTAGCAGCCTGCACCCAAACAGCTGCACACTTGCAGCATAGTGCCCCACAGTGCCCTGGTGTGCAACAAGGGACTCCTCCAGCAGGCTCTGCCTCCTCTCTCCCTGTTGAGGATGGATACTGGCTAAAGCCCACTCCATTTTGTGCCTGTGGTTGCTGGCAAGCAGCCAGCAAGAGACCATGATGTTGGTGTCACTTTCCCCTGCCAAACCCCAGGGGCCACTGTGGTTGAGGGTGACAAACCCCACTCATGGGATGCAAGCTCAGTGCAAGGGGCAGATGAATCAGAGGTGATGCTGTCATCTGGGACACAGGCAAAAGCCAGGGGGTGGCCAGATACTGCCAAACCCCCCAGGGCTGCAGAAGCCCAGAAAGGACAGGCTGGAGGTAGAGGGAAAGGTGGAGTCTAGAGCACAGAGCAAGGCAGTTTGGCCTAAGAGCTGAAGAGAGGCAGCTCAAGTACGGTCCTGACCTGTCACTCCACCCCCCGCTCTGCACTGCAAGGGAACAGGCAGATGGCTCCTGCCACAGCTCCCACCCCCAGGGACGCTCAGATCAGATCAGACCAGCCAGCAGCAGTGTAGGCTCAGGTCCTGGCACAGCTTGCCCAGCTGATACGTGCAGATTGGAAAGGTTTCTTCCCAGGCTGCGGGGCATGCAGTGCTCTGGGTGGACAACTACTGCCTGCTGGAGACGACCCCACCGGCACAGCAGGTCATGTGTTTCTCCGACCCACTTCATGGTGGCCAGGCAGGGAAGGGGTAGAGATCAGCTGAAGCAGGGCTCTGAAAACCAGTCAGGGCAGAGGAGAGCCCGATACCCTCAGGCACAGGGGCCAAGATCCTTTCCTCCGTATGGTAGACACGAAACACAAGGGACCCCGCCATGTAAACCACATTCTTTGATACTTTAATTCCAGTAGAACAAAACAACAGAAAAATAAACAAAAAATAACCAAGCCAACCGAAATACAATATCCTACCCTGTGGGTTCGGAGGGGCAGCAGCTCAGAGGAAGGGCTCTCCCATCCTGATGGAACAAGGGCAGTGTTTGATGCCTACTGGGAACATGGGAGACCCCCCCATAGCAGGGGAGAGAGGGGAAGCCTGATGCCTCCTCACCTCCACTCCCCATCAGCTGTTCCTACACAAGCAGAAAGACACAGAACAGACAGGCCTCAGGCTGCCTGAATCACTCACTACTGACAAACGGAATCATGCCCAGGATCCTGCCCCCCGCCAATAAAACAACCAAACAAACAAATCCAAAAAAGAGACACCACCAAGGAGTCAGTAGCAGCTGGTGGGAGCAGACCCCCTCCTAAGCAGACATAAGATGGGGCAGAGGCCTGGCAGGTGAGGGAAGAGGCTTCCTCCTACTTTAGTCTACCTCTTCCATGTGGGATGCATCTTCATCTCCCTCCAGAGGGCGGATTTCATCAGGGAGAGCTGCACTGGGCTCCTCTGCAGTCACCTCGTCTTCATCAATGCCTGGGAGAGGGGAGGAAAGGAATAGGTGAGGCCTCCAAGTGACACCAAGTGATCCCAGAGGAAGGGCCTCTCCCAGAGCAAAGGGTGACTCCTGCCCACAGCCCGAGGGACAGGCCTATTAGCATCCAGTAGTTATGCCAAGCCACAGCACCTCTTCATTTACATTTCTGCCTAAAAAAGCCAGTTTGGAGAAATAAGTTGGGTGCAAGCACAAGCTGTTTTACCAGATAGGTCACATCTCCCGTGGCAGACTTTTGGCATTCACTGTGAAGAATTGAGAAGCCTCAGCTTTTCATCTGAGCAGCCTGGTGGTGGCTCCTGGCCTCATGGAAGACAGGACAGTCCACTCAGAGCCCTGAGCCCTCCTGAAGTACCTTGTTCCACGTTTCCACTTGCCTCTAGCCACCTTACACAGCCAGTTCTGCACACCACACCAGCATGGCTCCCTTACCGGCCTCCTCCCTGCCCCAAGACAGTTACATGCTAGCCTGCCCAGCTAACCTGCTTCAGGACTTGCTCCAGGCCCGAGAAGCTGCATGGACACCTACCAAGCCCCAGTTTGATCATCCTGTAGATGCGGTTGGAGTGCGTCTGGGGATCTTCCAGGGAGAAACCAGAGGACAGCAGAGCAGTTTCAAAGAGTAGCACCACCAGGTCTTTGACAGCTTTGTCATTCTTGTCAGCATCAGCCTTCTGGCGGAGGGTTTCTACAATTGGGTGGTCAGGGTTGATCTCCAGGTGCTTCTTGGCCATCATATAGCCCATGGTAGAGTTGTCCCGCAGTGCCTGAGCCTTCATGATGCGCTCCATGTTGGCTGTCCAACCGTAGGTGCTGGTGACGATGCAGCAGGGAGATGAGACCAACCGGTTTGAGATAGTTACCTGCCAATGTAGCCAAGGGTTAGCTGAGCAAGGTCCCCATAACGCCCTGGACTGGGCCCAGCCACAGCACACATGATACCCCAGGTCTTTGCCCCAGGTTCACCTGGGGACAGCCCAAAGCAAGCAGAGATCCTCCAAGCAGCTCCAGGACTGCTGCATAGACCAGTTTGGACAGCTCAGCCAGCACCTTCAGCACCCACTGCATGTTTCCCGCACTTACCCTCTCCCATCAATGCACGTATTTGGGTCAGTGCCCCTCACCTGCAGCCTGGCTGCTTAGAGCAAGATGGTGCAGTGCATGCTGGGACCTCCAGTCTCCTTTAGCGGCTCCTCTGCAGGAGATGAGGGAGATGAGAGGCATGCATTGAGCTGGGGCCCTTGCCTGCATCACGGAGGGCCCAGCCCTCCTCCCCCTCCAGCCCAGGACACAGCCTTGGGCTGAGCTCCCCACCCATCTCACCTTTTCCACCTTCTTGTCCAGTATCTCCTTCATGAGTTTGCAGAGGGTCTCAAACTTGGCCTTGCTCTCCTCCATCTTCTTTTTCTCCTCCTCATCCTCAGGCAGCTCCAGCCCCTCCTTGGTGACTGATACCAGGGTCTTGCTATCAAACTCCTTGAGCTGCTGCACGCAGTACTCGTCAATGGGCTCCGTCATGTACACCACCTCAAAGCCACGCTTCCGCACACGCTCCACAAAGGCTGAGTTGGCAACCTGCTCCTTACTCTCTCCTGGGTGTAGAAATGAGATGTCACCAAGGTGCAAGAGCTGGTTACAACAGGACAAACAGCACCAGTCACTCAGAACCCCTAGCATAAAACGGACTGCAGCCGGAGCTCTAAGCCTGGTGATCTTTCCCCAGCCCCCAGGGATGGGCTGTGATTCAGCAGGGAGGGCCTGCTGAAGGCAGCAGGACCTACCCGGAAAAATTTGCTTTAAGTTAGGGCTGGCAGGCAGGTAGCCTGCCTCCACTTCACTAGGGCACAGAGGAGCTCTGGCTCACCTGTGATGTAGTAGATACTCTTCTGGGTCTCCTTCATACGGGACACGTACTCTGAAAGTGAAGTCACCTCATCACCCGACTGGGATGTGTGGTAACGCAGCAGTTCCGAAAGGCGCTTTCGGTTGGTTGAGTCCTCATGGATACCCAGCTGGAGACAGAAGAGATGCATGAAGTCTCCGGGATGGGACTTGCATGCACTTGGCCACCCCCGAGGCACAGTCATCTCTGCCCACCCCCTAACCATTTGAGCCCTGGGCCTAGCGCAACCAGAGGGGCCAGCTGCTCACAAAGGCTCTCTGGGGCACTTGCGAGACTCCCTCTACCCTAACACCCACACAGAGAAGACATGGCACAGAGACAAGCCTGCTCCTCAGGCAGAGGACCCTGAGGGGCCCCTCCCTCCTCCAGATGCAGGGTGCCCAGCTCACCTTCAGATTCTTGGAAAAGGCCTCATAAAATTTCTTGTAGTTCTCTTTGTCCTCTGCCAGCTCAGAGAAGAGCTCCAAGCATTTCTTCACAATGTTTTTGCGGATCACCTTGAGGATCTTGCTCTGCTGGAGCATCTCGCGAGAGATGTTCAGAGGCAGGTCCTCCGAGTCCACAACACCCCGGATGAAGTCTGAGTAGGGGAAATGAAAACAGGAGTCAGGTTAGGAGC